TGGTCTGTCAATCTCTCTCTCTCTCTCTCTCTCCCTTAAGCTCGTTGTTGCTCAAATTTTTATTTTTTATTTTTTGGGGAAATGTTTTCTTTACTTCTTTTGATCTTTCTTTATCAGTTGTATGTATTGCAATATCCTCTGAGGCCATGGTGGCGACCGTATGAGTTGGAGAACCGGTGCGAGGAGGTGAGGCTTAAGCCTGCCACTTCAGAAATGGAGATTGATTTGTCTCTTAATCTTGACCCTAAGAATTACGACGAAGATTGCGGTAACAGACTTAAAATGACTAAGCAGGTCAATTTTTTTGCATAAAGATTGTAGCTATATCTTAATTCTGTTTTTGATGTTGTGACATTGTTGCCTACACTGTTATGTAATGCAGTGTGGTTTTGTGTTCTTGGATTTTTCCTCAGACTTTGTATACAACATGGAAGCCAACTCGCACAACTGGAACTGGCTATGCTGTTGGGGTTTTGATGGGTGATAAGGTGTGTGCAACTTTTTTTGACCTTTTGAAGTATCATCCACGGATTTTATGTTTAATGTGGTTGAATTTACTATATTACTATAGATTGGTAAATGAGCTAGATTTCTTTAGACAATTGCGTATGCGTTTGCTCCAGCCATCCTGAGTTTCAGAGAAAGATGTTTTCAATAAGGTTGGTTTGTCATTAAGATCGTCTGAGGAGACCGTGATTCCAGGAAAGAAGTAATGACCTTTAGTTGTGAATTTGTGGCCGATAATCCTCTCAAATTGACTCAATTTGATTTTTTGAAGTAAAAGAGAAAAATTGTGAAAGGCTCCTGAGCTTGTAGGTCAGTTAATTTTCCTATCAAATTTCAGATGATATAAACAGTATTTTCATTTTTGAAGAGAATACACTTATTGCTCTTGAAAATATGCATAGTTGAACAAGTAGTGTTGGAATATTTACCTTGGAAGTGGTTAGGTGTTTAGTATGAATGGTGTTAATTTGTTGAAGGGTAGCTAGGTTTGAATAATTACTTGAATGCCC